CGCTGCCTTTACCGAAGAGAAGATCCGGGCCGGCTGGCTTGCATCAGGCTTGTGGCCTATTAATGTTATGAGACCGTTATCAAGTAAATATGTAATACCGGATGAAAATGAGGCTCAAGCTGCCGAATCAGGCAATCCGACTACACCACCAGCTAATACAAGCTTTCAATTACCTTATCTTAAAACACCACATAAGCTATCTGATGTTATGCAGCTTGCAAGAGCCGAATTAGGCAATAAGGCACTTACACCAACAAAGAGGCACTTGTTTCAGACGATTGGAAAGGGACTTGATGAACGGGCTGTTGAATTAGCTTTAATATCAGATGAAAATAGGATATTAAGCGAGAAAATCAACCAATCAGAGGTCTCAAAGAGAAGGAAGCTTACATTAGATCCAAATCAGAAGGTATATAGCTTAAAGGAGGTCTATGAAGCAAGGGACACTATTGTAGTAAATACAACAGGGAAATAAAGTTAACTAGGTTATTTTTTTAATAAATATAAGCTTCTTTTATTAGTATAAAGAAATTAGATTAAAATTAAGCTTATTTCTATTGATTTCTATATAGTTGAAGATATCGAGGTTATGGTGTTGAGGCTTAAAGCGGGGTGACGGGAACCCGGGGTGACGGGAACCCGGGGTGACGGGAACCCGGTCCCGTGACTTAGAGTGTATTCATGACATTTCGACGATTTCTACGCTTCAGCGGAAGCTACTCCACTTTCCGCTCACTCTCGGCCAATAGACGACAAATTCGATAGCGTAAGGGAAATCGCGCACGCGACGACAGGCGCGCGCCTCAAATTATTACTCAAGGACCAATGAGGCTCAGCTAGCACAAATCTCATCATCACAACATCACTTGCATCTGATTTCCTTTCATTTCTCACATTTTCGCCTCCCTTTTCCCCGCCGCTTCTCCACGAAGATTATTTTTTCTCCGCAAACCCTATCCTTCTATTCATTCTCAACGCGGTCATACACACGGGTGAACTGCATCAAAACACCACAATGAGCAAGCGTAAGAGATCGCTATCTGTCGGGGAGGATAACTGCGCTGAATTCCCTTTTACTGTCTCTTATAAGACTGGTGATTCGCCCGCTCACCAGAAAGGCCACAAAAACAAGAAGCGGAAGTACGATGGTCAAGATGAGAACAACCGGGCTCAGTCTCAAATCTCTCCTTTCAACCCAAAGGGCAGCTTCAAAACGTACGAAAATATGGACCTAAAATACACCGTTGAACCCGAAAAACGGTGGCGGAATATGACGCGCTACAATAGCTTTGTCCGTGAGTATCCGATGGAATCTCGACATCCTCCCAAATTGGTAGGAGCTTATGGCTAACTCTTGGCAGTCAACGGAAACAAATACTATAGCGAAGATTTCGTGCATGTTGCCAACGAGCTATCAATTGAAAAACAAAAAGCTCAAGATAATTGCAAGGAGATTTGCGAGAATAAAGATGAGTGGGTAGCGCGCATCCTTGAGATCCGTGCTTCTGATGAGCATCACGTCTATGCACGCGTCTACTGGATGTACTGGCCCGACGAACTCCCTGTGGACACCTTTGACGGCAAGAAGAAGGTTCAAGGTCGCCAGCCGTACCATGGCGTCAACGAACTGATCGCTTCCAACCACAGTATGCTCCAGAATGGTGACCGACATTATACTGCAATGCGACTAACCGATCCTTCCTTTTCTAGTGGATATTATCAATGTTGTCAGTGTTACAGGGCTCGCCACCGTCCATCAATGGATTGAGTCCGATATCAAGAAAATCCCAAAGGGGTTTTATTGGCGCCAAGCGTTCGACTGCCGTAACTTGCAACTTTCGGTGTGTCTCATTGTGTCTCTTTCTTTATCACAAGGGCTAATATCCACAAAGTCTGTCGAACTCATTTGCGAATGCCAAGAGCCTGCAAACCCCGACAAAATCGTGCTAGAATGCACAAATTCGGAATGCGGGAAGTCGTTGCATGAGGAATGTATAACCCACAAGATTCTCATACAAGTCCATGAGCGACTGGGCATAGATAAGGCCAATGTAAGCGAACAGTTGGCTGGCAAGGAGCAGGAGCCCGAACCCACCCATCCTCTATCGCCTGCTAATACCGAGGAGAAAGAGACTCAGCCAATGATCGATGTCCGTTCCGGCGAAACGAACGATGGCTTACGCTTCAAGAAGGCTGCTCGCGAAAGCCATCGTGAGACAGGTACTCTTGTGCGTGGACGGACGTCATTCGAAGCTATCGCTACCGCTCCAGCCAACCAATCTGCCAAGAAGGGTAATAAGAAGGGGCGCAAGAAGACCGCAGGCTTTAAACCATACGAGGGGCTTTTCGAGGCCACCCTCATGAAAGACGGCCTCACAGCATGGGAGATTCGCGACGTGCGCGAGAACGTAATAGGTGGTGATAAGTCCTGGACTGAGAATGCTCACTGTCTGTTGTGTGGTTCCGTTATTGACTGAATAACCAATGTACCAACCACGGCTGTCCCGAGTACGCTCCAGTCAGGGGGCTCGATGAGTCTGGAAGATGCAACTCAATATTGCTTGATGGACACGGCGTGCTGTGCTGGAATAGGAATCAAGGCTGTAGCCTTGCGAAGTGAGCCAAAGCTTCTATCACATGTCGCAGGACAGGCATAATCTCCAGGCTTTTGGGCAATTCTGCTATGAACTTATTTCGCCCTGCTAAATTCTCCTTTCGAGGAGGCTCTTTGTTCTCCCTGACTTGTTTTGTCCCATATTCCATTCAATCTTGAAATCTCGATGCCTTTCCTGTTCTCACTCACTTGAGCCTTTTTGCCTTGGTGGTCCCGAAGTGCCCCTCTTCAACTCTTTTTTGTTTTTCTCTGCTCATTTCTTCCGTTTCATGTTCTTGGGCTTTCTTCTCTGCTGTTTTGGACTGGTCTTTTGAACGCCAAGGTCAAGGCTGAGCGCAAACAGCTAAAAAAGAAGAGGCCAGCAAGGACTTCTGAAGCCCGAAAGCAAAGGTTCAGTGGGCTAACGACAAGCTTTTGAACAAGAAGGAGTAAATCAAGCCGCCAGTACAGAAGCGCAAAGTGAAGGGAAGAAGTAGACCTTGCGTTCGCTTACGTAGTCGCAGGCATGATTCTAAGGAGGAAAGGATGCCCGAGCCTTGGAAGGCTATCTGCATTGTCGGTACTCGTATTTTGGTACCAATTCTACTTGCGGAGAGTCCATTTCGTCAGTCATGACTTTGTTGTCCAAACTGCACAACTCACCTGCAAGGTGCAAGCAAACGTAAGTAAATTCAGGTCCAGCCGTCCTTGCCAGGCGCTCCGGTATCCAGCCTAGCCCCCAAATCAAATCCAATCAAACAAACTACCAAACAAATCAATCAAATAAATGAAAGTTCTGCAATCTAAAATAACATTTGATATATTTGATACACGATATATTATCCGGCGTTCATGCTGTCAAACTGTCGGTTGCATTTTCACAACTTACCCGGAACCTGGCTTGTGGGTAACCCCAGCCAATCAAATTAACCCATCAGGCCGTTTGCTACTGGGCTACCCCAGTACTGGCGTTAGACTGGTTGGAGAGAAAGTAGCTTCTTAACCTTCACGTCCAGTCCCAACGGCATCAAATCACGTCAGTGCTAGTTTGTTTACCCTTCAACGCGTATCGTTCCCCACGGATCGACACCTAACCTGATGGAATCCAACGACATGATGCTTCCTTTGCCTCCACCCTCTGCCTTTCTTTTCTCTGACCGCCCACGAATCTGACAAGCCAATTTGAACTGACGATACAGACAGTAGTACCTGACCACCCTTTGCACATCTTCCGCGAGCAGTGTGGAGGAACAAACAATATGTCTTGGAAGAGTCCATCTCCAGGAAGGGCTGAAAGGGTCGGAAGAGCTGGATCAAGCACCATCGACTTTTTCTTGTTGAGATTGATGCTATTGACAGTCCGCTGAGCCCTTATTGGGCCTGTCATTTGTGCGACGCGAAGGGCCAGCCCGAGTTCTTCGCCGCCGCCGCTACGAGTTCAGTAGCCGAACACTCCGCAAGTATGTGAATGTGAGTGTGACGTCGCGGGCTCGAGCATCATTGACCAATGCAGGTCCCACGGGCCATTTGAGAGCAGTCAAGCAGCTGGTCCAGATCCGTCAACCGACGGATCTGAACGGGCCAAGCGACGACGCTTGTAGTATAGCACTGTGCCACGCGCCAGAGTCAAGACGATTCGAGAATTGAGCCTGGGACTTCTGATTGACACCAATATTCCTTTCTCCTTCTTCAGCGATACATTCTTTCAGCAGCTTGCTTGGCAGCTCGACCCTTACCTATTTGACCAGATACCATGGAGCCAGTAACCGATGGGCCGTTTGCTGGATGGCACGTACAAGTCTAAGAAAGATGAGATCAAGCAGGAGCTCTGCGATGCCCTCACTGAAATCCACCTGGGGTTCGACCTATGAACATCACCTAATCGGCATGCTGTCATGGCAGTCACTGCTCATTTTCTTGACCGGCGGGGCAAGCACCAGTCGCGTCCATTGGCACTCCGTCGCCAGCTTGGGTGTCATGGCGGAGAAGGTCTTGCGGTTACGCTCGAGCAAGTTGTCCGAGAATGGAAGATAGAGGACCGAGTCGGAACCGTGATCTCGGACAACGCATCTCCAAACGACAGCTGTCTCATGAACTTCTACGGAGATCTCGACGCAGGGATGAGTCTGGCGGACGTTCGGGCCAGACGCATGCACTTCTATGGGCATATCCTGAACCTGGTTGCTCACGCCTTTCTCTACGGCGAAGATTCCGAGGCCTTCGAGGCTGAATCGCAGGTATTTGACCTTCTCGGCCGGTGGGAGGATGTTCTATGACACTGGAGAAAGAAAGGGTTGGTGGGAAAGCTCCAAAATATCGTCAAGTTCATCAGGTCTTCCCCTCAGAGCTTTCCAAAAGGATTACACGCGAGAACGACGAATCAAAAGAATATCTCTTGGCAAGTGAGTCAACGACGGAGGTCGAGGTTGTAATGAATGACGATACAAGATGGGGTAAGTGGAGATACAAGATGGAACTCCACTTACCCCATGATATCTCGAGGCGCTTGTCAAGTAGGAGGACATCAGGGCGTTCCCAGTCCACCCGGACGTGGAGAAATGGCTACCGGAGGTCGACATGCTGCAGGGAGATGACTGGAGACTGTTGGCAGAAGTTAAACTTGTTCTTGAGCCATTCTATCTGCAGACTATGAGAATGCAGGGCTGAGGCAGCGAAGGAGGTAACAGGCGGCTCTGGGAAGTGATGGCGGGTATGGAATACATGATGGAACACCTGGAGGATCGGAAGCTGTCCTATCATGTTGACCCCGACGGGCTCGTGGGAGAGGACACCAACTCGCAGGTCAAGCTGGCTCGAGGGCGACCAGACCGTAACCGGCAGCTTCCTGCTCGATTCAGGGATTGCGAGACGGACAGCCATCCGCAAAGGTCTAGGCAGCAGGCCCCTTGCTGGATCGAAGCTCGAGACGATGCGGTGATGGATCGGGCAACCGATCAGGACCATCGGGAACCGATGACATGAAAGGATCACCGACACTATTTAAGACCGTCCATCAAAACTGCCTGGCAGAAATTGAATGAGTACTACACCAAGCTTGGAGACTCACCGTTGTTTGCTGCATCCACCATCCTTCATGCAACACTTGGCATGAACTATCTGGAGGTGAACTGGACATCGAAGGAGTAGCTTGTGTGGGTGAGGGATGCCAAGATTGGACTGTCAGACTACTTGGACCGTTGGTGCAGCTGCAACCCGCCGTTGGATGAGCAGCAGAAGATATCGATATCCTTGAGCGTACCTAGGAAGACAACTGAAGCTGGCGTATTCAAGCAATGGAGTAAGAGCAGGACGGCGAAGACTACGGTGACGGGAAGTGAGCTTGAGCGTTTCGATGGCGACGGAAATACTGGATATGATACAATGCCACAAAACCTGGGTCAGATATGGTGCGGTGAATCTAGGGGCGACGATAGGTGGGGGAGACGAGGTCTGATGGGAGATTGGAAATGTAACCGTGGAGAACGTAGAGGGTCAGATTTGGAATATTTGATCGAATCTTCCAAATACTCCCCTGGATTCGATTTGTTTGCTTTGAGGGCAGCGCTGCCGGTATCGTAGTCTCCGCCGGCACGTCCGAGACCAGCTGCGACATCTCTCACCAGGACCCTGGAATTCTACACCATTGCGATTCGTATTCGTGAACTTTCTGTTACTATAGCAGTCAGCGCAGGAGAACATTTATTTTTCGTTTCTGTTTATCACCCGTACCTTTTTCGTATAGCACAACTTACATCGCCGCACTTCTCCATCGCCCAGAAAAGACTCCTCAGGTTGCCGCTTTTGCTTTTCCCGTGGCTCAGAGTCAAGAGATGCCGGGTCAGGAAGGGCGAAGGTTTACAGCTGTTGCTATTGTAGCTGGGACTTGTGTGTGTTCAAATATTGGCAGTATGCCATAGTTCTTCTTTCAGGCAGAGTATCTCAGTTTGCCTCGGCCATGCCAGGGCAGCTGCCTACAGCGATATATATGGAGCAAGGCTGTGATACACAAAGACAAGACTGGTAACATGAGAAGTGGTGCATCATTACGTGCTAAGCAATTGCCCATGGTATACTACTCCTTCGGTCATGGCATCGAAATAAGGCGGTCCAGTTGTCTCTCTGCCCTTTTCTCACAAATTGTTCGTCATCAAACTATCTTTACATGACCAAACACCCCGAACTACTCACATCACACTGTAGACGCACAGATCTATTATTGCTTCAAACAGCTCCGTCGCCTTCACCACATTGGGCTGATGTAGCGCTGTCAAGTCGCTTGGGACCTCTGATAGGAAGAGCCTGTGGTTGTGCTCGACTTTTCATCTCCTCACTGCCGTTTTCCAACTCGGCCATAGCTAAGAAGTTTTCATTCCTCAGACTTTGGCATGGAAATGCATTGGGCTGATTCATCTGGTCCAGGAATTCCTCCTGGCTACTCGGAAAATTCGCCAAGGTGTCCAAAGACGCCTGCTTCGACTCTAAAAACAGGAATTGAGCCAGCAAGCGACTGCGAATTATTCCGGGATGTAAAGAGCGTTCTTTACATTCTTCACAGCCAGACTCGTTGTCAGACTTCCGTATTGTGAGTTGTGAAGACCCTAGACTTGCGTTTGTCGTCCGGAACGATGAATCTGGGCTCGTCAGCCTATATATTTACAGGGTGCTCTGGGCTTACTTTACCTGCGTTTATGACTCCTACCTGTGTATTTATGGACCGAGACAGTGAGGTGGATGATAAAGCTGCCGATGTATAATCCAGCGAGATGGTGCCTTCTTCATCATCTTGCGTTGTCTTGATCGCACCTAGGTTGACTTGCTTTTCAAGGGCGTTATTTCGCCGTTCGTCTTGGACGGGATTCCTGTCCTCAATTTTCCACTCTTGATAACTACCAAGACGCCATGGACAGGTGGTCGTGGCTGACTCGGTCATATAGCCGTCCTGAGCCCCTGTCGAGATCATAGTTCACGCGTGGAATACCTCTTGGAAACCTTTAGGGGTAAATCCTAAATGACGCCATATAATGTCAGCGCCTTGAGCCTTGAGCCTTTAGTACTTTGGGTAGTGAACACCGGGCTTACCCTCACTTGTGGTTGCCAAGTAAAGAGTTTGTATCTTTTGCTGCTGATCACGGTCGGTTCTATCCCGTGAGATGCGCAAAGACATAAGATCTGGCTTGAATGAGGCTGACACTTGGAGAAAAAAGGGCAAGAAATGCTGCCAAGATCAATAATATGTGTGTACCAGACAAGACCTAGGAACTCACGATACAGGAGTGTTGATAGTAGATGGTGTTACCAAAATGACCTGACCCTGGATGCTTAGGGCAGTAGGTATAGACAAGAGTAAATGAGAATAACCGAGATAAGCTCCAAAACGATTTAGGTAGCATCTAGCAAGCAGCAACGATAAAGACAGACATGGGTTGGTCGCATCGCTGCAAAACTGAGCGTGAAACCGCCGCGGAGATTCGGGGACCCGCCTTAGATGCTGGCACTATGCAGAACCCCTGTACCAAGAACTTGGCTGGATCTTCCACATGCCCATTGGCTGTTCTTCCATACCTAGATATCCTCTTGTCGGGCGTGCCAGCAGGTAGGAGGTAGCGATGAATGTGAGTTACTCTGTGAACATCTTGTCGGCAACCAATGCCCCGTGCCTGTCTCCCGTAGCTGACTGTTGTCAAAAGTAGGAGCACCAGAGTGATGCATCTGTAAACCGCCAAGCTCGATAGTCTATTCAGTTTCTAATGGCGTGCCACTTCGTGACTCCTTGGCAACAATTTCAAGGATGGACCGTGAAACTTCCTGAGTCAGATCATGGGTTACAACATTATTATTCGCTGACGACACAGCTCAACTGAAGCGCGAAACCAGGCTGAAAGATGTCAAACTGATGTCTTTAGAAGTCTTGTCCAGGTTTGACTTGGTATAGCAGCGTGAAGTTCTAATAAGCGCCGAGACGTCACCAGCAACCCCGCCTTGGCCCGGGTCATAACACAGGGTATCTTCAGCCGATATCATGAAGTAGATGAAGGGTGATGACCCGATACAGCTGTAAAGTATGCGTATATTAGTAGACCGACGCTGAAGTTGAAGAAGTCTTGATAGAGTACGCAGAGCTCTGCCAGAATCGTGTGTGCGTCTTGGGTAATGATTGAGTGATGCCGGCACAGAACTGACGAAGCAGGTGAGGCGACGCTGGAACTGTAAGTAGGAACTCGCGGGCTGTTTGGCGGGCGAAATACACCTTGCCGTGATGGATATAGTCGCACCATCCACACCATGATCTGAGACGTATCTTGAAGCGCTCATCATCCTCCAAGCCGAGGTCGTAAATAGACTGTGATGTGAAGTTTATATTCACGGCAACGCTCATTTCGGGGAGGGTTAGCAGTCGGCTCGTTGCCCAGATACTATTTGAAACTTTCTGAACTATCTTCTGAATCGTCCTCGTCTAGTTTTTGTTAAGAATTTGCACTTTGCTGGCCGTATTGGATGTTGCCTTTGTGGAGCTGAAGTGCCTAGCTGCACATTATCAGTCAAGATTCATGACCGATATTCGCCTAAAATATACAACATCAATATCATAGCCTTTATCAGGCATATCCAAACACTCATATTTGCTTGTATTAAAGGAGATTACTTCGTGAAAGTAGCCCAGTGGCGTGCCAAGTGGCTCGAAAAAGGACCGCGGAATATGTAGGGCTTCCTGTCCGACTCGCTGCAGAAGGGACATACGTATTGCCCCGATCGTATCCGAAGCCCATTGATACCAATATGAAGATAATTTTCATGTTAATACTTCTCCAGATAATCAGTCAGATCACGAGGAAGCTTCTCACACCAATCACCCCTTGGGTAGGCTATACCACGGTCACAAGGAAACTGTGCGTTCCTTCCATCATTCCTGTGTGTTGTAGGTACTCCTGGACTG